GTAGTATCGGTGGTGGTGACAGCGGCGGCGACGGTACAAGTGCACCCGCACTTACCACCTGGTAGATACGGTTGCTTTGGTTTTAGTAGCTTAATGATAGGCATTTTACTTTTTCAAATGCTACTTACGTAGAGTAGGGAAAATATGGCAATGCTGTACAGGGAAACTGCACTTTTTCTTCGACACAAAAAACTTGTATTGTGGGTTAAAGATATTCAAAAAATGGATAATTTTTGCTCCTAAATGTAGTGAATAACTTCTTCGAATACGTTGTGACGTCAGAATTCAGTTTAATACTTGGTAAACGAACCTTGGTACAAAAAAAATCTGGTTTATGGCAAAACATCTATCCTTCGGTATGTTTGTTTATCTGTGAACCAACCTAACAGCCGTAGGCAAGTTTTCTTAAAAATTGTTATTTCCCGATCGACCTGGCTGAAGGCGCGGCCCCTTGAATTTGAAACGGAGACGTTCGAATAGATCAAAACACGCACATGAAAATTTTCATTACATTTACGAGAAGTTTTCGCGTAATTTTGCGTGCAATAAAAACGGCTCCATTTTTTCTCTCGGATAGTGCAAACTACGCTAATAAAAATAGCGTTTGTCAGATTTTGGTTGATCTCTCAGAATTTTCGAAAATTGCAAAAGTTACAAATAAAGCGAAATTATTTGAGCTGTTATAGCACTACTCGTTTGCGATGTTTTGCTGAATGCGAATGAGTTGCGTAGTTGTGGTGGTGCAGGGAGTTGGATCAGTGACATTGGTGAGCGGATGACGAGAGTTACGAAGATACGTACAATACGAAATGACGACAAATGATGTAACGTTGCTGATGGTAACAGAGATTTCGAAGAATGGACTGACAACAATCCCATGAACTTTCATCAATGACAACGATGACGATAGAAATCACAACAGAAATAAGCGCACGCTTTTATACCTGCACCGGCCGCAACGATGTTTGTACACACCATACAAATCACTATGGCATTCGATAGGTTTTATACAGAGGCTTACGAAATTTTAGAGATGCGTGCGCACGAGAAACATTCGGTCATGACTCATTTTGTCGGCATGACTGCGAACCTCATCGCCCAGAGATCGTGCAGCGAGCTTTAAAAGGATCGTTGCTCAAATAATAATACTGCTGTTGACGAAATGATAATGTTCAATCTACACATCTAAAGTAAACCGTGAATATGGGGGGAGTTATTGAAATGAATAAAAGTGGTAAGTGCACAAATCTACAACTGAGTAGACACCACCACTGGTTGATTGACTGATTGATTGATTGGTGATGCTGGGCGCGTCAACTACTAAGGTCATTATTGTGAGTGCAGCGTACGTTTTTATTGCCGAAGGTGGTGGAGATCTTCCCCCACTGGATGGATGAAATCCTACACCAACATACTCGTCGGTCGCGGATTTTCCCGAATGGAAGGCACCATTACATCCGGGACATGCTCTAAGCTTTCACTATTCTTCCGATATGTGCGGTGGCGTACTGCATCTAAGTGTAAGGGGTGAAGACAGGACAAGGAAGAGAAAGGAAAGATTGCGCGAGATCCGTGGCCTGTTTGTAAGGCTACTGCTCCGGCATTTTACTGGTGGTGATCGGAGAAACCATGGAAAATTACCAATGAGAGCCGCTAGAATTCTCCTCCACCCAGCGGCTGAATTCGACCTAGCTCCATAGTTAGACTAGCTGAAGAGGTGGGTCGAATTCAGCCGCTGCGTTAAGAATTCTAGCAGCCGGCAGCTCTGGTATCTTCCACTAAATGACGACATCCACCATTGCCGGGACCTCCCGAGTGTCGCAGGCGAGTCAGCAGCCATACCGGCTCTTAGCTAAAAACACACTTTACAGGTCTAGGAAAAGGTGGATCGAAGTCACAGGCAACGACAGCTGTTTGAGACGGAAACGGCACGTAAAGATAACACCACAGAGGAGGCAGGTCGACGACGACGGTAACTGCGTCGATGCTGGCGGTGAGCGGTCCGGCAGCAGTGGCTGCATCGAGAGGCGGCGGTGTCTGCGAGGAGCTGTGAGTAGCGCCTCCGTCCCACCTTCGACGTGAAGGTCAAGAGGCGCAGACTGACGCGCGCGCACGCCGGCGCGGCGTCGGGCGAATGCACCCACAATGCACCCACTGACGTCCTTCGCGCCGCCGGCGGCGGCCAGCGCAGCGCACGCCCGAGTGCCCATTCACGGCCCGCTGTCAGTTGTTGGTGTAATCCTAACGTGTTCTTACGAGTATGTTGTGCTTTCGGTTTGGAGTTGCTCGGCTTCAGGGAAGAGATTTACACATTCACGGCCGGTCAACAAGTGAGCAAGCAATTCTCAGCGATCTCGCTGCGGGAGGAGATGGCCCCTGATGGGAGGCTATCACGATGATTATTGAAATTTCTGTTCAATTCAATTTGTCAATCAATCCATCGCTCGATTTGAAAGTCATATTAAGTTCAAGATATCAAATCACAAAATAAACTAAGTAGAGAGCCTCCTGCCTTTTGCAAGGAATGTTGAATAAAGTGATAGGGTGATGATGACGGGTGAAAGGGATAGGATGATGGTGGAAGGAGGCAGGTGGGGTGATGGGAGGTGGTCGTGGTATTCTTGATTTTTAATTTTACTCTCAATTGATAAGTTCAAATATTACTCGTGTATTTGATTTTAGTGGAAAATTTCATTGCTTTAGCAGGGAAATGAAAGTATTATAGTGTGCTAAATTTGGGGCAATATTTGTCAACTAACTTCTCCGTAAGACTGTTATGAGCTATATATTTAGTGCCGAACCGCCACCGCGGTGAAATGTGTACAACCCTTACATTTTAACCTCGCGGCAATTGCTCTGGACGCTGTGTCCGCGAACTCTCGTGAGTGAGTAAGCGTGGCCGCAACCTAGACAGGCCTGATCTCGCATTCGATTTGGGCTGGGGTCTTGGCTGCGAACTCAATATAATTGGACTTAAAATTATTCAGGGCGTGTCCTTTCAGGTGTAAGAAAACAACACCATTATTCTTATAGTCAGATGAAAAAGTGTTTCTTAAAGAACAGAGACAGTCGTTTAAGCCGAAAAAAGATTCGAATTCAGAGCCGAAATCAGATAGTTCTCTTGCAACAGGCAACAACTCCCTCCCCCATTTTGCTATATTTGTAAATACATATAAAATGTAGTAGAGTATATAGTAATTGAGAATTTATTTAAATTAGTATAATAATTTTACCTCAGAAAATTATATTAGGCAGATTTTACACAAAGTAGCTTGCTTACAAAGCAAGTTTTGTACTAAATTAGACAACATTTTCTAATTGGGGAAGAAGCAACATGAATTCATGTTTTTAAAAAACATACCGTAATAATTTCATTCATTTCATATACAAAAATTGCGTAATAAATATTCATTAATTAACATAAGTTTCTTTGTTAAAGTTCAACGGACATTAATTTCATGAATATTCGTTATACTTTCTGAAGCTAAATGGCTCGCTCCCCAGGACGTCATTTACCAAATGCTCTCCTATTTCTCTTCGCGTTCGCAGGAGACGGAGGGAAAGGCGCTTGTGAGAGCAGCCACTGATAACACAGTTGCGTTCGCGATCTGCCAGTAAGAGCGACAGTTCGAAAAGACTGGACTACATCAGTCCTCGTTACTAATTTGTACGATTATTTCAATGTGTCTTTCCAAATTGGTTAATAAAAAAATTAACATTCTAACAGTACCACGTAACATCTAAGGGAGAGAAAAATAATGCACCGTTTCTCGAGCTCTAGTGAAGAGATTTTCAAGACGATTATCAGCACTTCTCAGAATTTTAAGACGAAAAAAAAAAGTGAAACTGATTTTCGAGATGTATATTAATTCAAAACTCAAGTACCCAGGGTTACATACAATCGCCTAATCATTTTACGAATTTCGAGACACATGTAATACAAAAGAAAATTTAAAGTAAAATCCTAATTGCTTACAATAACTCCATTACTGAAGGATAGACAATTCTCAAACACGAACATAAATTCGACCGAAATAACAAGAGGAGAATTATAAATTGATTTCTGTTACCTTAATGTACATTGAAATGTACATTACACATATTATTTGCAATAAATTAGTTAATACGGTAGAGCAAATTCATTTCATTAAAGATCTTTAACTGAGAGAGAGGACACATTGTTATGGAATTTTTACTAATAATATTGTGTTATTATTTGCATTCGTTAAATTCTAATTTCAAAATGTTTGGTTAATTTCACAACGCTATCTAGTACATTTTTGTCAGTGTTTATCAAGTCTGTGTCGATAATGTCCAAGTATCATGGAAATTAGTGAATTCTTCTTCTAAATTTCTTCCATTACTTCGCATTTGATGGGTACAAAGTATAGATCACTGTTGATGCATTCCTTCTTACAGGCTAACGAAATCTTTTCTTGAAACAACACTTTTCAGTTTCTTTAAACGCTTTCCAAGACTGACTGGGGCATCGTCCATAAATAGCCAGAGTTCATACATTATTTATGAATGTAAATACAAAAGTTCGTGCAATTTCAAATCGAAAGATGCTCTTCACCGCGGCAGCTCGAGATGCAAATTGCCCAGAGATAAAGTATTTATCGACAATATCCTCAATTACGACAGCTGAGTTGGGAAATTCTCCATACATTCTGCGCATTTCAGTGCTATTGTAAGTTACAATCTTCTTAAAATATTACATAGTCTATATAAATTAAAACTGATATTAGAAAAGTAGTTGCAATATTAAACATATACTATTCTTTTGAATGAGTAATATTTAGTCTCTACTATTTTAGACCATTAACAATATCTGTTGGTGATTTCAAAATATAAAAAGATACGTTTTTGCTAACAAATGAAATATAGTCGCAGAAGTTATAGAGACGTTCTCACTCTCAATAAAATCAATAATATCTGTAAACAAGTCGTTTAATTCTCATTTTAAAATATCTTTTGGCGTATTAACATGCCAAACTTACCCATTTCGTTGTTGAACAGGTTTCTCTTCCTGCTTTATGGTCTCTTCTTTCTCTTCTTTTTGTTCTTGTTCTCGAGATTCTTCTTTCTCATCTTCCCTTGTGTCATCATCTCTCTCTTCCCTCTCGTCGCTCTCTTCAGTTTGTTCGATCTCTTCGAATTCTGTTTCAGTCTCTATTTCTCCTCTCTGCTGCACAGATCGAACAGACGCCAACCTGAAACATAAGCATATCGTGTCAGAAAAGAGAAAAGTCAATCACAACACACAAAAGCGAGTTTTCGCTCGAGCATTCCACTGAAAATCCACCTGCATTCTTCGAGTGTCATATCAACTATATTAAATAATGGAGTCATTACAACTGTATTGTATAAGTTAATAGAAGAGACGAAATAGAAATTGACTCTACGCGTTTTAAAGACACTGACGTGTTCTTCTAGATGCAAATATCAATTGATTCAGGTTAGGGAACAAACGAGTAGAGGACACAAAGTCAAGCAAACGGAAGTCATTGTCCTACTAGACACAAAAGGAACGGAATACCTGCCCACCCAGAGGAAGGCGATGAATCGGCGGCATGCGATTCGTCTATGCCTATCAGAGCTCCGCATTCCTTAGAAAATCAAACGCCTCGAGACCAGGAATTGCCCGATGGCATCCCGCGTTCAGGTTTCCCTCACACACGCTTCCCAGTTAATCCTTTTTCACATTTGGCTACATTTGGCTGGAATGGTGTTTCAAGTAAAGTAATGTAAGAGTGAAGAGTTAAGAAGCATAAACATACATTTCTTGATTAAAGACCGTTATGCTCACCAAGGCATTTTCATAGAAATTAATAATTCTCCACTCTCATTTTTTCGTAGACGCCAGACTACCTTCACTAAACGTTGGATGGTACTAATGATATTTCTTTTTTACTCAATAACGACGAGGGAAAATTCTAAGACTACACAAAAAACAGTTTTCTGTGGTTCTAGTACTAGTCATCGCGATTTTGCGTCAAGAAGGAGAAGGACAAGGTCGTTCGAGCAAATAGGCAGCCTGTCATTCTGTAACAAAAGCTCACAAATCAACCGCGCAGCTCGGAGTGCAATCGATCAAGCTCTGTCGCCGTCGATTACTTTCTCGCGCTCCACAAGGAGCGCCATCGTGAGGTGCGGAGTGACTACACGCAGGGGCATTCATTTCCTGGCAGCTTTTGCGCTCGAGAATGCACTTCCAGCGTGAATGGAACGTGACTCAAATGCGAAACGACGTTGTGCTTTTTCTTTCGCGACGTGACCCACAATTCATTGAACTGGGCGTGATGGGAGACGAGTTACCAAGAGGTTCAAGGTTCCTGCTGCCAAACAAAACAAAATAGTATGCTTGAAAGGCTGCTACATGCTTGGCCCACTTTCACTAGTTTTATACTTTTTTTAATACGTGTAAACAGAAGAGAGAGAATGCTGATTAGTGAAGACGTGCTTATTTGGATCTTTGGGGAACGTAAAAACTAAAATACAGATAATCTGTCGAAATTCTAAATACAAGCACAGAAATTGTGAGTTTATTTTATAAATTGCACGCATTTTTTTACATCTCAATAATATTGATTCATGTTTAACTATTACCAGTACACAGAAAAAATCAAAATAATGGGCAGACTAACGACAAAGTTGTGAAACAGGATCTGAGAGTCAAAGATACATTTGTTGAATTGTAAGTTGTGAAAGAATGGAAAAATGTAAATGAGAGCACTTCTCCCAAATTGTTTTGTGTGTTTTGTTAAAAATAATGGCATTTTTCGATACACATGTTTCGAATTTTCTGACACAAAATAATGGCTATTTCGGATCCAAAAGTCACGTATGCTGTCCAAAGCATTGGAACAACTTGCATACTATACTCTTCTAGTATGTAATGCACAATAAAGCTCTAAATTGGGTCTGAATACATTAAAAATGACGGTAAGGTAAGGGGCAGAAGAGGAGTAAAATCTTTCCTCTCCGAACAGTGAAGAATACAGATGGGGCTGCCAAGAACTAAACATTTTATATTGGTTTATTTATTGAATATCGTTTGCTCTAATGCGTTTAATTATTTGTAAAATATAACTACATAAGACAGACCAAATTTTGTTCGCTTTATTCTCTGATCGTCTCTTTGCAATTGTCATATGCGGCTCTTCCTAATGAACTTCCCTTGTTTTCGAACTCGTTATTCGTTACGTCGATATTTGGTTATATGATGCTATGTAGATTAATATGTTAATGCATATTTAAGCTGTTTTTTCCTGTTGATACATATTTGTGTAATCATGGGCGCATATTTGCATATTTCGTGAAAACAGAGACTTATCTATAAAACTTGAGCGCCCATTGATTCGAAAGAGCTTATAACAGTTTGTTTTTTTTCTTTTTTTCTACTGATGATAAAATACTTGTGCAAATTTAGAATATTTCTGGACAACATATTTTTTTAAAGTCAAAAGAAATACAACTAGACCTACACATTCACCTATTCACTTCATTTGCAACATTTACTTCAATTATTTCTTTCTTGAAGTGGGGTAGATTGTATTATGTTTGCACAAAAATACACAATATCTTTCCTTTTATGTTTCTCCTGAATTTTATCAAGAAAGATAAAAAGATGCAATGAAATACTGCCAATTTTAATTGCATTGCATTTTTCAGGATTTTTAATGCAGTCGTAAATGCATATTATTAAAAGCTTTCACAAAAATGCGACAAAATAGAAAGGGAGGACCGCAGATCTTTTTCATGTTTTTTCCCGGATGAATTCTCGAAGAACGATCGAACAGCTTTTTAAACCGAGCCACGCACAGAGCGATTTTCTATTCATTCTCTCCCCTCTTCTGGAGAGAGGGCTATTATAGAGAGAGAGAAGGAGGGGGGAAGAGAAAGAGGGAAAGAGAAGGGGAGAGAGAGAGAGAGAAATCAAGAGGGAGAGAGAGAAATCAAGAGGGAGAGAGAGATATCAAAAGGGAGAGAGAAAGGTGGGAGAAGAGAGGGGGAAATATGAGTCGCGGGACCGCGACGTAGAAACGTAGCGCGCCGGCTACTAGGCTACGGGTCGCCCCTGAGATACGAAGGAAGCCTCGCGGAAGCAGCCGCTCGTGCGGAGCCTGCAGCTCCAGCCGGCGGGGCGCTGGGGGCGGGGCGTGGCAGGCGGGGAGGGCACGTGCGCGGGGCAGCCGTACCAGGGGGACGTACTTTCTAATCTCGGCGGCGGCGCGACTGAGGCAATGGAGTGGTAGGTTGCGGAGGCTGGGGCGGGGGCGGAGGGGGTGCCTGGGGATTAATCGCGGCGCGCGAGGGGGCGGGGGCGGGACGCGGGGCGGGGCGGGCGCGGTGAGGTCACTGAGCGCGGGAACGCGCGTGACGCACGCGCCTCAAAGATGGCGGCGGGCAGCTTGGTGGCGTGGCCGGGGGCGGAGGCGAGACAGAGGATTGGGCACGGCGGTGAACGCGCGCTGGAAGGGGCCGCGGTGTGGGGGTGGTGCGGCCGGTGCGCGGGTGGAAGGTGCGACGGGGAACGGACGCACGAATGGCAGCCGACTTGCTCACGTCTCATGAACTGCAAGACATATTGTTCTCAGATACGGGCGAAAAGGAAATGGCGGGTTATTGACCAGGAGGAGGGGGTCTAAAGATGAAGATACGCAAGATATTTGGTAAATATTTCAGGAACAAAATTAGAGGAAAATAATATTTTATTTATTTTAATAACTTAATTGGGTGGTTCTTCGAGTTTCCTGAGAATAATTTCTTCACGAACATCGAAGAATAGACCTGCCTTATGACATGTCGGGTGTTCATTACTATATTTCATTATAATGATAACAGTTTTACGGACCAAGGTTAAGAGACTAGTGACCTCGCGTAACCTCAAGCATTTGTAGCAGATGTTCACGCCTTCTTAACTTTATGTTACTCAAGGATTTTCTAGGCTTTTCACCTTACATTCCTTGCTGTTTCTAGGAAATGATATCAACAGGATGGCTGATCATCTGCGCGACCAACAACACATGAAACAGAAATGCGAGTCCAGTCTAGATATGTACTATCCAGAAAGGTTTGAAGGTAAAAACCTTTCCCGAAATGGAAGAAAAACAAACAACCCTTCTTAATATTCTGCAAACTGAATGTCATTTCGCTGTTTGAAATATAAAATGAACTAAATTTACTTTCACAGTCTAATTAACTATTGAAAATAATTTATATCATTTTTTCCAAAGTGGAAAATGGAAATATTCATAGAAAACTTTCGTGAAATAATTTGATACGTTCAGTCATGAAAGTTGTTGATTTTCTGGCCTCCTCTATCTCAAAATTCCAGTTACGATACAGTTTCGATCTAGTATGTTTGTGTTGGAGTTTGAACGCGAAACCCCTTGAGAAGTCAATTTCTCTCATTCCTGTCCGCTGCAATGGCAACAGTCTCCGCTTGGGAGCGACGTCCTGCGCCTCTCTCACGGGCTCTCAGAGGCCACTTGTGATATGGGCCAGGCGCGGCGCGGAGGACGCGCGCAACGGCGGGGGCGGCACCGCACGCAGCGGGTGGCCGTGCCCCGCCCCTCCACCGCCCACGCGCTGCTATTAATGCCTCCCGGCCAGCACGGCGCAGCGCGGGGGCGGCGGCGGCGGCGGCGGAGCTCCGCGAGGCGACGCCAACGCCGCCCAGCGGCTGAAGCGCCAACTGCCACGACTTCGCGCGGCGCGGCGCCTAGCGGCGACCGGCTGGGCCGCCAGCGCGCCCGCACAGCTAAAGAGTGACCGCTTTGACATTTAATTAACACTTAGCTTGCTAGTGAATTGCTTCATAACTATATATACATTTTCATCGCCTTGCATGACGTTCATTTGATTTGGCAAAGGGGTGCCTTCTTATGGTAAGTCCTCTATACCACTTCTCAGCGTTTGAGGTAGCGTTGGACCCAGCCACCCCCTGACGATAAGCTACCACTCCTCAATTTTTTAAGTGGAACACGCCCAGCGAAGTTTAGGACACCACACCCCTTGAAGTGAGGTTAAACCCTCCAATTCGAGTTCCCCTCGTTTCGTTTGACGAAAGTTGCAATACGAAAATTACAACGTTGCGAAACGACAGTTTGAAATTCTTAGAATTCTTCACATGGATAGTACCATTAGGAGGCTATATGTTACACATTCAATAAAATGGTTACATTCAACTACAGATAATACAGCCGGA